TCAGAGGTAATTTTACTGATGGACAACAAATTGCAAGACAAATTGGGAACGTGGAGCACATCATGGAGGGTTAACAAAGGAGTGAGTTTGATAGTTCCAATCCCGGCAATTACCGAGAGTGAACCATCTGCAATTTTGACCTTTTTATTGCCTGCACATGGACTATAGGATGAGAATAATTTGGAGCAACTGGTCATATGATCAGTTGTGCCTGAATCAATTATCCAAGAATGATCAGGGTTAGGAATAAAACCAAAAAACGCAGTAGCAAGAGAGTTACACTTCTGTACCAAAGAACAAGACGGAGTTAAGGACAGTTTTGGAGAAAACAATTTGTACAGGTGCTCTAATTGCTCCTTGGTAAAAGAGACTGCATCCGAGTTGGTAGAAGGCTCCTGAGTCTCTTCAGCAGTGGCTTGGTAGGCGCGACCGTCACGTTTGGATTTTGGCTTCCAATTTACTGGTTTACCATGAAGCTTCCAACACGTCTCCTTCGTATGCCATGGTTTTTTGCAATGCTCGCACCACGGTTTCTTGCACCCGTCGTTGTCAGAATCAACACCTCTTAACACAAGAGCAGAGCTCTCAGGTTCCAGATTTCTCCCATGTTCGGTGTTGCACAGCATGATTTTTCTCCTTGACTCCTCACGTCTAACTTCAGAAAAAACTTCCCGAATAGAGGGCAATGGCTTTCTGCCATTTGTGCTTTTTTTCTTTTTTCTTATGATGTCGTATAAGTCGGCGATGACCGGCGTCCAAGGAAATCCTACCGTCTCTTCCGGTACTTCCGAAACCATTCCGCCCAATCCCACTATTTCTCCCACGAATATTCCGCCCAATCCCACACCTGTATCTGCCGATTACTATTCCCAGAATTTAGCCCTTTATCTCACGGTTACAAAACTCAATGGGCACAATTATCTCGAGTGGGCTCAGTCTGTAAAATTGGCGATCGATGGCAGAGGCAAAATTGGGCATTTAACTGGCGAAATATCGAAACCTGCTGCTGGTGACCCTAATCTGAAAAAATGGCAGTCTGAAAATTCTCTTGTTATTGCTTGGCTCTGATACCATGAAGGTTTTTTTAAGAAGAAAAATATTCACTCTTCTTATTTTTCAAGAGAGACAATTACAAGATAAATAGTAGAGGAAGGCCACCAAATCAGGAAGCCCACAAAATCAGCAAAACTCTAGGCTAGAAAACAGGAAACAGAAACTACTAAAATCTGAAATATTAGTTTCAGATTTTATTTTCAAAAATTGAATTTCCTAATTTATTTCCTAGAAATCTGACACAAATGAATGTGAACTGGAAATGAAATGGTCTTGAACTCAAGAATTCACCAATGTACACCATATAGACCATAATCGTTTGAGTACAGAGCTTATCTCAAATAAACACAATTTAACCCCTTCTTGTTAACATGCTCTACATCAGCAAACCTTTGCCAAACACTTTATGATTATAGGTAACAAATTCAATCTTGATAAAAGAATAGCATATACAGCTCGTAGCATAAGATTTTAGAGAGACTGGTGGTTCATACGATTTCAAAGCAGAATGTTCTTGTGCTCAAGGCCCAATAACTCCTTAATTATTACAATAGATTTGCATGCTCGGTCACTTTTAAATGGGAATCTACCCACACGTGAGTAGACGTGCTGATGATAACATAACTTACACGATTCTTTAACTGCTTAAGCATTAAAAGTAACCAATTGTTACCAATTGTTTACATATCTGTTTACTGGAATAGGTCCAATATCTTCATCATAACTTTGTATCAACTAAAATAGTAAAGATAGTATCATTCAACTTCTCATGTTTTGATATCCAAAATTACAAGCCCCACCAAGCACATAACTCCAAAATGGCAACATATGTTTTGTTTTGATTCTAACATTATTTTGTTTCTTTTTCAGTAATTAATAGGATTTTTTTCGATTTATCTAATTCTATAAACCTTTTTTCTCCAAAAATACATTCATCCATAAACTTTTTTCGATTTATCTAATTCTAAAATCTTCTCCGAATTATTCCAAAAACTCAGGCTCTTTCTTCTTCTTCTTATTCATTTTTTTGTGTGCTTGTTCTTTTTTTTTTTTTTTTTTTTTTTCGCTTTTTTGTTTTTTGTGCTAGGTCATTGACTTTCCTTTTTTTTCCTGAATGATTCAGTATTTTCACCTTATACCTCAGGCAAACTAGTTTTTTTAACTAAAAATTTAACAGTGCCCATTCTCCAACATGTTGTCTCAATTTTTTAAATTTTTTCAACTGGATAAGATGCAATGCTGCTACATAATAATGTATGAAATATGTACTGATTACCTGACAAAATCCACCACGGCAATGCCCACGGCCAGAGCATTGATTTATACAAGTGCATTGCACAGGCACTTCACAGAATCTACCCCACAGACCATCATATTTGCAATCACATTCTTTTTTGAATTTCACCTTGAAGGCATATGCTTCTACTGGGTCCACATTACACCACCCTGGTTTGCTCCCATTTGTTGTGAAAACATTGTCCAAATCAGCTTTTGTCCAATCAGTCAATATTGGACCGCCAGGTTCAGAAGGTAGCCTGGAACAGATAGTAAGAAGTTATAAATTATTAATGTTTTGTAATCCTGTACTAGTCGAAGTCTGTAAAAGAAATTCAAGTATGCTGTACTTCACTTATCAAAAAAAAAAAAAAAAATGCTTACTTCATTTCAAACCCACATGCCTCAGCAACAGGACGGTTTGGGTATTTTGTGCCTTCTCCACAGAAGCACATTGCTCTCGTTGTGTCACAATAAGCAGAGCATATTGAGACTACCCATCGACCATATGGTTGGTCCTTTGATCCTGGGAAACTGCAGTTCATCTGCAGTCTATCGGAGCATCCTTCCCCTGTTTCATCAAGATACTATAAATCCAGATAAATATCTTGTTGATCAAACAAAATATCTGCTTATGTGCAATAACAGAACAAAAAAATATTTAAGTGGGGGGAAAAGGGAACAGTGTGGACTTCTGCAGGAGTCACGAAGATGTATGGTTGAATAGAAAATGGAAAAAAAAAAAAAAAAAAATTAATCAAGGATAAGAAGCAGAACTGAACCCCTCCCTCAATGATGATGTCATGCTTCAATAGCAATTAACCAGTGCTAAAACAACTTCACTGGATAGATAGCAAAATTTTGGTCATGGTAAAGTTGTTATTCAATTGAAATGGTATAATATAAAGATACCCTTTAAAATAAAAGAAAGCATTGTTAAAGGTAGAAGGGCATTTATCCATGTAAAGCACTGGAGTGACACCATAAATGATCTCCATTTACGGTGAAGGCTGAAGCAGCACAAAATCAAACATCAGTGCTTAACAACATAAAAAAAGAGGATCACTAGATCATCTAAAACAATTTCTATATTCATTATCTATCCCAGTCCCTTCTCCAAAAGTAGAGCAAAATGCAGCTCGTGTGTGCCAGTTATATCTCGTTCTCCATCAGGAAGTCTCACTAAGCTACAACCTAGGAAGCACAAATACTTCTTCTTGGGTGCTGTGGTGGTATCAGACATGCGGACATGGCCCGGACATGTGCCAAAAACGGCTAGAAGTGCCTTGAAAGATGAATATTTTATTTTCTAGTTGAGCAAGGCTAAATACGGCATGGACACAACAAGAACACGCTTTGGACACTTTCAGGACACGACAGGGTGGTTTTGTAATTATTTTTTTTTTAGAAGAATGGGTTTCAATGCAATTTAAAATATGTCATGGGTTAATTTTAGAAAAATAATGTAAAATTTAAGAAAATAAAAACAAACATCCAACTCTAAGCTCCAAATAGTGATTTCATTCATAATTATATGGGTAAAATGAGCAAAATTATTATTATATATATAACATATATTATATGATTATTTTTGACGTATCCATGCCTTTGTATCATGTCGTACTCATGTTCCGATAATATCTTAAAATTGCATTATTATTATAGTTTTAATAGGCATTATCGCACTTATTTCGTATTAATTCCCACCTTTTACACTAAAATATAAGAAATTACTTTTTTCCGTTGCTGCATAATTTTCATGATTAAAACGGGGCATTAATGCATGGAAATTTATTTTGTAGAAAGCTTCGATCGAAGTATTTAGAGCTCCAATCCATCGACCCTTGAACACATATCGATCACAGAAAGTTCAATAGCCTTCGATCGATACCTGGAACATCTTCAATCGATCAAAGGAGTGCTTAGTTCGATGACGGAAAGAAAACAAGAAAAGACACAAGAGATTACATGTGCAAATTAATCCAAGGGTCATTGTGATTTGGAGATGATTCTAGAAGATTTGTAGAAGAGTTTGCAACAATCAAAGTCGTTAGGGAATTTAAAGAGAAGAAAGGCAACTTCCATATTCAAATTTTGGAAACAAATTTAGAAAGAAAGTTTTGAAGCTATCTCAGTAAATCGGCCATAACTTTGACTTGGATATTGGAATTGTGCAAACTCAGCGGCTGTGGGAAAAAAACTTGAAGCCCGTCAATTTTGTATTTCACCGAGAATATATTACTTCGCGACATCCTGCACTTGGGAGATTATAAAGTCACAGCATGTCATGTGTCCGTATCCGTGGTTCCTAGGCTACGGCCGATATGTGACATCCTGCACTTGGGAGATTATAAAGTCGCAGCATGTCCTGTGTCCGTATCCGTGCTTCCTAGGCTACGACTGATGTGTGTCATAATTTAGACCTATTCTATGTCAGTATGAGCATTTCATTGCCTTGTCCTTGGATTACAAATGGATCTCCACGTGTATCTGAGATAGTAGAAGAGATCCAACTAACAATTCTCACTTACTAATAGCATCCTAAGAACCTCAAGGCTACTTCCCAGATTATCTAAGATGTGGTACCTCCATTGCCCCAATTATTTACATGCATGAACCATCCATGTTTCGAGAACAGCTTCTGTTTTTAGCAAATTAACTTTAGATTCTTTTGCTTTGACAAGCTTAGGTTTTATTAGTTCATAGAGATTGACTATGGAATACCAGAAATCTCATTGTTATTATAAAAAATTAAATAAATTAAAATAGCTAAAACGAACACAGTTTCAAAGAGAAAATACTAACCACTAAATCCATGAAAGCAGCGACATTGACCCAATTCACGATTACAAATGCCTTGACCATTACAGTCATTTTTGCAGCTCTTGCCACCAATTTTCTGATAACAGAACCAAAAATTATAAGCAAGCACGACTCCTGGGAAAAAATGTCAATTTCATTTGGACCCTTAACTTCTAAAAGGTGAAACAAACTACAAAATCGGAGTGGCTAGCATGTAGATGAGTCTTCAATCCTCATCATATGAGATGATGAATTGACAAAAAATGTAATATCAAAATGAAGAGTTCTTATGATTCCAATATTGGATAAAAATTCAACCTTAACAAAATAAGACAAGAGAGAATCAATTTTGACAATCCAAATATGCAGTACCTCCACAACTTTGACTGCCGTAGTAATTGAATCACAACCAGATAACCAACGGCCGATCTCAGCCTTCCATGGAGCACTACGGTAAACCACTGCCTTGTGTAAGTCAGACGGAAAACGAACATCTAAATCAAGCACCGACATATTGTCCTTGCCGCCAATAATTGATCCATTAATTGGGAGACAAGAATTTTGAACTTGCAGCGCATTAAAGTAATTGAAAGAAGGCACCAGAGGAAACAAAAATAGATGAACCACTGAAACCAATGCCACAATTGAAGCAATGGCTGCCACCAGAGACCATGAGCACTTCCATTTCTGAATAGTGAACATAATCCCACAACCCTTCTCAATAAACCTTTAAATTTACACTAACTCATCAAACCCTTCCCCTCAAGCTCAATTAAAAGTACCAAACACAGCATCAAACACCTACAATAAAAATACCAAATCCATGCAAAGACAAACATGAATATATATTAAAAAAAAAAATGAAAATTCATAGAACAATCAAACCCCAGCATATCAAATCCATTAAAGATAAAATGTAAAAACATCCTGATGGGCAACTATGAAAATTTCTTAATTCATATATAAACCATTTAAATTTCCTAAAGAAGAGGATAAAACTTAATTAAAATGTGCTTCATGTCTCATAATCTCTCGTGAGAACCCAAAAATTTCTTATCTAGATAGAAGAATATAAGCATTTTTCTTCTCCGCGAATTCAAAGAACACCACGTAACAGAATTCAACAAATTACGACGGTTGACCCAAAAAAAATTAAAGTGAAGAGTGAGTGACCGACCTATATCAAGATCCGAGAAAGCAGTTTCTGAGATTCAAATAATTGTAAAATGAGAGAGAGAACTAAAAGATAACACGAAACGTAGAACAGCCGACGAATATTTCAATCAAACTCAAACACAGACATATATGATGATGTACTTCGTATTTAATTAATTAATGCAGTTGAGAAAGAGGGGGAAGGAGACAAATTGGCAATTGAATAAGAACTGATTCTCATATAAATTATAAATAAATGAACGTGAAGATTTCAAATTGAAAATTAAATACATAAATAAAATATAGAGAGAGAAAGAGAGCGTCAATATAAAAGCCGCCAGGGCTATCGGTGTAAGAGTTTGAACCAACTGAACAGTTTGGAACTACCTGTAAATATGGCTGTTAAAATGACTCAGAATGCCCCCCTCTTCCTTTCTGTAATGCTGGTTATTTTTAATTAATTCTTAACGAAAATGATTGTTTAATCACAAACATCATCGAAAGGCTATTTTACTCAATATAATTTTCTTAACTCGACCCATTGGCCCTCCTGCCCACCCAATTTTAATTTTTTTTTATTAATAGGAAAGGGAGAGAATAATTGTTATTTTGTGATAATATTGCATTTACCTTTAAAAACTATATACATCTCAAAAGAAATTATTAACATAAAGAATATAGTAATTATTTAAGGACAATATTTAGATCCTCACTAGTGAGGATGTACATCATTCTGACCATAATGTGGATCAACAATATATGAGCACATCCTCTTTTAATTATCAAATTAGATTCAGTAATTAACTATCATATTTGATATGATAAGTGGATCTATATCCCATCATTTTTTATTTAGTAATTAAAGATAACGTGCTCATGTCTTATTAGTCCAAATCAGTAGTCAGATGAGGATCTACCGTATATCCCATTATTTAAAAACAATAGATTCTTGCTAGTGAGGATTTACACTATACTCACTGTTAATATATACCAATAATAAATGAGTACATTCTATTTTAATCAAATCACTATCTCTTATTTAATATGTGGGTATCTACCCCACCATACTTAAGGATCTACACTATTAATGTAGACCAATAATAGATGAATATGTTATATTTAATTATCAAATCAAATATGATGGGAGTAGATATTCACTTACCAAATAAGAAATAGTGATTTGATTACTATTTATATTTTGGTAATTAAAATAAAATGTGTTCATTTATTATTGGTCCACACATCAACATTGGGTGAGTGGGACCTAAGTATTATTCTTTAATTATTTAATTGTTATTTTGTTAGTGATTGTGAGTTTATTTTTTTATTATTAATTTTATTATTTATTTTTGAGACAATTACCTCGTCTTATGAGAATGAATTTCATTAAGAAATTCTATTTACTTAAAAGGGACTATTAATGAAGCGTGGCAGTGTTATCCGAGTCAGGCCTTAAAGTGCCCCCAAAAAAAATTAAACTGAAGAGTGAGTGACCGACCTATATCAAGATCCGAGAAAGCAGTTTCTGAGATTCAAATAATTGTAAAATGAGAGAGAGAACTAAAAGATAACACGAAACGTAGAACAGCCGACGAATATTTCAATCAAACTCAAACACAGACATATATGATGATGTACTTCGTATTTAATTAATTAATGCAGTTGAGAAAGAGAGGGAAGGAGACAAATTGGCAATTGAATAAGAACTGAATCTCATATAAATTATAAATAAATGAACGTGAAGATTTCAAATTGTATTGAGTAAAATAGCCTTTCAAATTTTGTGATAATATTGCATTTACCTTTAAAAACTATATACATCTCAAAAGAAATTATTTACATAAAGAATATAGTAATTATTTATGAATAATATTTAGATCCTCACAGAGAATAATTGTTATTTTGTGATACTATTGCATTTATCTTTAAAAACTATATACATCTCAAAAGAAATTATTAACATAAAGAATGTAGTAATTATTTAAGGACAATATTTAGATCATCACTAGTGAGGAAGTATATCATTTTGACCATAACGTGGATCAATAATATATGAGCACATTCTCTTTTAATTATCAAATTAGATTTGGTAATTAGCTACCATATTTGATATAATAAGTGAATATATATCCCATCATTCTTTATTTAGTAATTAAAGATGACGTGCTCATGTCTTATTGGTCCAAATCAATAGTCATAATGAGGATCTACCGTATATCCCATTATTTAAAAACAATAGATTCTTGCTAGTGCACTATACTCACTGTTAATATATACCAATAATAAATGAACACATTCTATCTTAATATGTGGGTATCTACCCCACCATACTTAAGGATCTACACTATTAATGTAGACCAATAATAGATAAACATACTATAGTTAATTATCAAATCAAATATGATGGGGGTAGATATTCACTTACCAGATAAGAAATAGTGATTTGATTACTATTTATGTTTTGGTAATTAAATTAAAATGTGTCCATTTATTATTGGTCCACGTATCAACATTGGGCGAGTGGGTCCTAAGTATTATTCTTTAATTATTTAATTGTTATTTTGTTAGTGATTGTGAGTTTATTTTTTTATTATTAATTTTATTATTTATTTTTGACACAATTACCTCGTCTTATGAGAATGAATTTCATTAAGAAATTCTATTTACTTAAAGGGCTATTAATGAAGCGTGGTGGTGTTATCCGAGTCAGGCCTAGTGCCCTCACAATATAGTAGTTTTTTTTTTTTTTAAAGAATAATTTTCTTATCTTTCCGATAAGTTAAATTATATATTTTTACTTTTCTCTCTTTTATTTTCTTAAAAAAAAAATGTTAAAATTTTATTTTATTTCTTTTTTCCTTAAATTATCTAAACGAATATTGAACAACACTTGGTACATAAAAATATAAGTATCGCACTTGTGCTTAATTCATTTAAAAAAAGAACTGATTAAAATTATCACATGATTAATAACTTAATATACTCTTTAATCCGAACTTTATGATATGAAAATAAGAATATGGATTATTTTCTGCCATGTTAGATCTCCGCATTGAAAATGATATATGTTTTGTATATGAATTGGTAACAGTTGGCCATGACATGAACTCTTTCTTACCACCAGCTATAGCTTCCGTAAAATAAAACTTATAATTTCATGTACCTTCCCTACAATCAAACAATCGATCAAAAACTGAAAATTGCAGGAAGAAAATATTACCAACCTAGCTCCTGTTGCTAATGGCCATCCGTTACGAGGCATTTCTTGCACTAATAACTAATCTCATGACTTCCAAAACTACCCACCATTGCATGGGCATATATCCCCCACTCCCCCCACGCTATATTACTTCACCTACATTTACATGTGCAATTTGCATACCAAGTTACTAAGCCAACTAAGAGTAGTAAGTGTTTAGAATATAAACTAATCAATACATAGAGTTTAATATAAAATGGAGGAAAAAAAGGAATAGTTTACTTGCTTCTTCTCTTTCTTTTTAATATATAAATATTTGTTTTATCATAACCACTTATGAAGTATAATAATTTTTCTTTTCTCCTCTCTCTTTTATTTTCTTCAACAAAACGGTGAAGGTTTATTTTTTAATTTACTTTCTTTTTTTTTTTTACCCCTTAAATTATCTAAATGGATAACACTACTTTATACTAATTGTTTATTTATTTATTTATTTATTGCTTATTATCAATAATAAATTAATTGATAATACGTGTTGAGTAATCCCACACGTTTATATGATCATGGTGATCCATTACATTATGATTCCAATTTAAGAAAATAATATTTTTGGACGTGACCTCAAATCTCAATTTTATGGAAAAGAATATATATATAGATAATCCATCTACAAGAATCAGATGTAATCGTGACATTAATTCATTATTGCGCATAGCAACATCATGCAAACGGCTACGGCAATTGCTAATTCATATTACATAATTGAGGTCAAGTGACCCCATACGAGATGAGCAACCACACAGCCTGGAGAAATTATATAATAAGTTACAAATAGTTTAGTTTCAAAATTGATCCATTAAGATAATCTTATATCCATGTCGATGGTTTTGACTTTTGTGAAAGACTTGTATATGGCTTTGTCAAGTGGTTATGATCAAATGTACTTGTAATCACATTTACCTTTTTATTTTTTTTTCCTTCCTATGAACCTAGGGTAAATACTTTGGTACTTTGTATTAATGGAATAGTGATCTAGATGCAGATTTGGAGACATAGTGTAAATACTTTGGTACTTTGTATTAATGGAATAGTGATCTAGATGCAGATTTGGAGACATTGAAAACAGAAGAAATCAGCAGTGTAAATTGGTGTTTAATGTTGAGTTGTTGTCTCAGAATAATTGGAACTACCTCAAGTCTTCAATGAACCAAACTGTAAGGCATTATGATTGCTCAAAACAATCAAACCTTGCAAACTACCAAAGCTGGATGTTGTTTTTGTTCAACACGACTCTAGTATTAAACATTGGAATTTGGAGCCAATACACATATAAATATCTTAAATTCCTAATGAGCTTAACTTCTCTTTGCAATTTTGTAACACCACCAAAGTCTAGATAAAAAGAAGTACAAGATAAATAGACCAACACACAAGCCACTTAAAAAACAAGTGAGTATTGATATTTAGTCTATTTTGGAACGGACATGGATCTTTTCGGGTCAAAACGATCTGGTCAAAATTGCACCCATCACCATCCGCGGCTCCCGTTGCCGCCGAAGCTTCTGCCTCTGAAAAGGCTCTTGTTCTCAAAGAGGGTTCGCCGAAGAAGATGTCAAGAGAGTATTTTAATACATAAAGTTAGAAACTTTGAAAGAAAATAAAGTTTGAGTTGCTGAAGCAGAAATTAGGACCCGAGACAACACCATTTTCCTGCAAATAAGAGAGCAGAAAATTGATAAATCTTGACGACACCGGTGTGGTGCGTGCCTGCTAAGAGCTCTCCGACAATCAAGTCAATCACCGAAGGTCTAAG